ACACCATCCTGACGTATTAGCTCGTCTAGGGTAGCCAGAAGCCAGTCAGGTCCTACTGGCTTGTACGGCAGTCTACGAAAGAGCGTCTTCCAAGGGGTCCTGGGCCCCATTTAATCTCCAAGGGAACGAATCAACGGGCAATCCCCGCGCGTCCAGTCATTATCCATCGGTTTTAACGCTTTACCCAAACGGACTGGACGAGAATAATTTAACGGACTCGCGTCATCGTTCACCCTACCCAAGGGCCAATACTTTCAAGAGGTATTAGCCGACGATCGACGTATCGATGATCGAAGAGGGGAAGGGGTGGGGGAGGAGTGAAAAAGAGAAGAACGAAAGTAGCATATCGCTAAGCTCCCTTAAAATAGAATTTTTATTTCAAGAGCATCCCCCCACCACCCAACTCAGCCGACGTCACTCCCCTTATTTTCTCCTTGGCTGGATTTCATTTCAATCGTCGAAGGAGAGAGCCCTCTGTAAAGTTTATATTCTTGGGAGCTTTTTTTTTTTTTTATTTCTCCCGGACAAAGGACCGGTTGAAAAGGAGGGAAAGGGGGGGGGGAGAGACAAAAAAGTCAAGGTATAACCCGGCTGCGTAACGTTACTGTAACGCGTGGCTAACATATCCGAAACACGTACCGCTACGTGACGTGTCCCCAAACGAGCCATTTGCTCTCACGGGGGACGTCGCGACGCTCGGCGTCTTCGTCGCGCTACTTCACGGCACGACGTCGACACCCATCGTCCGGACTGATGACGACATCACGGCAAGCCGGTGCGTGAAAAATCGTTCACGCGACTCGATGAACGATGAGACGCCGGGCGTCGTTCTCTCGGCGTCGTTCCGCTGCGTATACACGAAGAGACCGACCCTCAGTTCTAACTGAGCAAGCAGAGAGAGCCACCCTCTCGAATAAGGTATCTGGCCTTTCCACGTCCCCTCGTCGCACACAGGGGAGCGATACAAAGCCCATCCCTATTAAAAGTATTTTAGCAGTCTTTTCCAGCAATTATTTCGAAAGCTTTTTTTTCCCCGCCAAAGCCCCGTGCCGTCCGTTCGAGAAAAAAATAACAAAGCGACTCGGCCAAATATATTAATTAAAAGGGAAGGAAAAAAATTGCCGAAACATTCGATATACACAACGCGCACCCGATCGACGTTCAGCGTCGGCCGGCTGGTCCAGACTCGGCCTTCGGCAAGTGCGGCCCAACGGGCTGTTCCATATTAATGCACGAGCGGTACGAAGCGATAAAGTATAAGCTATGAAATATTGAGATGGTATTTTTGGCATAGAGGCATTTGGAGCAGACACTCGGACCGTATGCGTGTACGTAGATACGAGAAGGACTGAGGGAAGAGAGGGGGATGAAAATGGAGGGTTGGTTAGATCCGAACTGGCAACTGAGAATCCAATGGGACACGCAGTTAACCCTTGAACCCCTTTTTCTTCAACCCCCTGGCAAAGTATCAAATTTGTCCCTCAACCTCCCAGGCTAATTCGTAATGGGAACAATCGCAAGTATCAAGTGTATATAATTCAGCCCCGACGGTGGTTAAAGTTTTATTGGTCCGTACGAACGATCCCCTCGTATCGGCAGCTGCACCAATTCGTTTCGTCCCTTGCGCGAAATCGCCTTGGTTTGCACTTGATTCGATCCCCTCGCTGAAATGTTAAATTATTCCGTAACCATGCCAAATGGCCGATCTGAATGCGCCCGACCGACCAAAAGTGGTAATACGTTACCGGTTATTGCTGGCACAAGCAAGCGTCTTGGCGTGCACTTTCCAATCGGCCGAATAACGACGTTCCTTACGTAGAAGATGCTGCGAGGTATCATTACGGAGACGAGAGAGACCGTAGGATCGGCCTTACCGAGGATAAAACTTAGACAGACGTACGTCGAAATTTGATTCTTGAACGGGATCAATTTTCAAGGGAATTATAGTTGTGAAGATTTTGAGATCGGTTAGCTCTGTCTCGCTCCGACATACCGGAGCGCCCATAAGAGCGTCTCTGTCGCACTCGCGGCGGGTATAGGAAATTGAAAATTTTCTTAATATCCCCCTTCCTCGGTAAGTCGTATCGATGACCTTTCAACCAACTCTTCGACTATCTTCGACACTTTGATCGTGCAATATCGTCGAATCATAGACTCGTGGCGATTCGCGAATATATAGGCAATCTGTATTTTAGACAGGGCGGTAAACGAGGTGTTCGTGCCTCTAGCGTACCTGGACGGACAAGGACGTCTCGGGATGAAAAAACGGAGGAGAGGGATCGGAAAGGAGGCGAAGGGAGAGCGCGAAGAAAGGAAAGAGCGAAGCCAGGAGGAACGTCATCGATCGCCCCTATCTTCGTTACTTAGATTCACCGGAGCGAACTCGTGCTCGTATTCATATTCATATTTCAAAACTCGCATCCACGGCCCATTGTGTCGTTGAATACGCTATGCAGAATGCGTCGTCTGCCATATAACGTTGTGGCGCACCCGCCTTCTGAATTAGTAATAGCCCGTTGACAACGGCCGCCGCCAACGCTGCCATCTCCGCACCGGCAACGCCACCATCTACCGGCTGCCCGGCTATATACGTGGAATACAGAGAGAAACGCAATTTGCCCGTGATATTAATTCCTGTAATGGATTACCCGTTAACTATGCAACACCGCCGGCTAATTTATGTACCCACGCGAATACGGAGTCACGGATGTAGACGTGATCATGAGATTTCGCGGCAGGAAGAAGACGGACGGGAAAAATATACCGTATGTCCCATCCCAAACAGTGCACCTGAGGTCGCCGCGATCGAAAACGAATTTTTTACCTCCTTTTCGGGTCAAAATCTGGTGATATCGTCGGGCGGTCTAATATTTCGGAAATTTCGATGTGTCCCACGAATACAGACACTAACCCAAAAATCGAAGTATAGATTATCCAAAATAATCGAATCTGCCAAACGAGTGATCCTTCTGTATGGTAAGTAGTAAAATTGCTGATAAGTTTCATATACGTAAAGAAACATTCGTATACGTAAACATTTGTATATAAAAGACATTTAATTATGCTAAAATATTTTGACCGCGCTAGAAAGTATCACTAGATTTCGCCGCGAAAACGAAGGACGTACGGTATACAAGGTGGGAGGAAGACAAATGAGTCGTCGAATTGACTTGGTGGCAGGGACGGGGTTTGAGTGGCGGAGGAGAAGCAGGGAAAAACAGTAGGATAACGATAATATCCTTGAAAAGGAGCTTAGACCAAGTGTCCTGGGAAATGGAGGGTTCAGGGGATGGGAGGAAGGGTCCTCCGGGCCTGCGACCGTGCCTGGCGCCGCTGAATTAATAAAGCTCGAGAGCTCGTCTACGTTGGACCGGTGCTACTCTCGGATGAAAAATAGCATCCCTAATTGACGAGTTTTTAATGTAGTTCAACGGATAAGGGAGACTGGCGGGATCGGG